GGGGGATTTGGGGGGTCCCGGGGGGAATTTGGGGGGTCCAGGAGGGGATTTTGGAGGGATTTTGGGGGGATTTTGGGGGGAATTTCTGGGGTTCTCTTGGGGGATTTTGGGGGCTTCAGATGGGGAAATTTGGGGGGATTCTTGGAAGATTTTTGGGTTTTTTTGGGGGGTTCTGCTGGGAGAGTTTCAGGGGTCCAGGAGGGGATTTTGGGGGAGAATTTGGGGAGATTTTGGGGAGATTTTTTTCAGTTCTGATGAGGGATTTTAGGGGGTCAGAAGTGGATTTTTTGTGGGATTTGTGGGGGTTCAGGAGGGGCTTTTTGGGGAATTCTTGGGAGAATTTTAGGGGGATTTTTGGGGAATTTTTGAGGGATTTGGGGGGGATTTTGGGGGAATTTTTGAGGGATTTGGGGGGGATTTTTGGGGAATTTTTGAGGATTTTTTTTGGATTTTTTAGGATTTTGGGGGGATTTTTGAGGCATTTTTAAGGGATTTTGGGGTGGATTTTTTTAAGATTTTGGGGGGGATTTTTGGGGAATTTTTGAAGCATTTTGGGGGGATTTTTGAGGGATTTTGGGGGGATTTATTGGGAATTTTTGTGATATTTTGGGAGGAGTTTTGGAGGATTTTTGAGGATTTTGGGGGGGATTTTTGGAGGATTTTTGAAGTATTTTTGGGGAATTTTTAAGGGATTTTGGGGAGGATTTTTGAGAGATTTTGGGGCAGAATTTTGGGGCAGATTTTTGAGGGATTTGGGGGGAATTTTTGGGGAATTTTTGAGAGATTTTGGGGGAATTTTTGAGGGATTTTTGGGATTTTTAGAGGATTTTTGAGTTATTTCGGGGGGTTTTTTGAGAAATTTTTGGAGAATTTTTGAGAGATTTTGGAAGGGAATTTTACAGGATTTTTGAGGGATTTTGTGGGGATTTTTAGAGGATTTTTGAGGGATTTTTGTGGGAATTTTTGGGGAATTTTTGAGAGATTTTGGGGCGGATTTTTAGATGATTTTTGAGGGATTTTATGGAGGATTTTTGAGGGATTTTGGGGGGATTTTTTGGGATTTTTGAGGGATTTTGGGGGAATTTTTGGAGAATTTTTGAGGGATTTTGGGGGGAGCTTTGGAGGATTTTTGAGGG